GGGTCAAAAGATGGGACAAAAGGCTAAAAGGGAAATCTAGGTAACTTGTCCATCGGTAATCATGGTTTACAATAAATTCATGGGTGGTGTGGATCTTCTCGCTTCACTGTTGGCCGTATACAGGATACCAGTAAGGTCCAAAAAATAGTATCACTGTATAATATTCCACTTTCTGGATACCAGTATGGCAGTTGTGCTGGCATGGCTGATCTATAGGCTGATTGTACTAATGCGAATCGCGACAAAAAATATCCTCGGTGTACTTGATTTCAACACCAAGATGGCCATATGCCTAATGAAAGAAGGTAAAGCAGGGTTTAGGAAACTTGGCAGTCCTTTATTGGATATAGAGCCTCAACTTACAGCTAAAAATTTGAGTGGTCCTATTGCAGCTTTTCCACCCTTACCAGTAAGAGCTGATTATATTTGGCACTTTCCTGAGCCACTTGAAAACAAAGGAAGATGCAAGAGACCAGGTTGAAAAGAATTTTCAAGAATAAAATGTGCATAATGTAAAGTTGACATTGCTTCAAACAGTTCCACCAGCATTAAACCTGCATTTCACATATGTATATAAATATTTACTGTCCCTCTATATGCTCTATATATTGATTACATGATTTTCTATATTTTTGTGTAAAAAATGCTTATAAAATATGATTTTTATAATGATCTTTTTCATGATATAAAAGCATAATATGAAGATATGCTTGTAAACTAAGTACTGAGAACCATTGTTTGTGTAAACGATTAAATATTCACCTTTTACAAATATTATTGTTATCGTTTCCTTTTCTTGTTCAGTTTTACTTTTCTGACCTTTAAGACGCACTGTTGCCATATGGCAACATACCAATAAAATCATTATTTCATTTTAAAAAATTATTTTTCTTGCATATTATGTTTATTTAAGTCCAATAACTATGAAGTATGCCATCAAAAAATTTTTTTCCATAAAAAACTAAAATTGCGTAATAGAGGGTTAACTCTTGCATATCTGACCAGAAAACACACATTTATGACGTCCACAAACTGAAGTTTATTTTTTTCTTTTATTTTTTTTTTGCACCACACAGTTATCACCTGCTCTTTAAGTTCCCGGTCCATCCAACCAAAGAAGTCAAAGGAATGCGAGTCCTGTAGCTGGAGCGTTTCACGAGTTAAGTAAATATTCGTCCTTTGAAAGCATGTTCTTTTCACTTTTATAGTCGTTGATTCGGGGAAATCATGTCAACGCCCTTAAGGCAGATTTAGGCAGCCCGTGACCCGTCATGTGACATGTCATGCTATGAGACGTTAACAGCCATCGGTTATGTTTGTGCCCCACAACAACAAGCTTTAAAAAAGATAAATAATAAAAAGTACGTTCACACTGGGGATTTGTTGCAGTCACAAAGCTTAGTGGTGAATCCGTGTTGTGAATCCATGTTTGAATCCATGTTGTGAATCCATTTTTAGAATCCATGTTGTGAATTCATTTTGGGAATCCATGTTGGGAAGCCATGTTGTCAATCCATGTTGTGAATCCATGTTGTGAATTCATTTTGGGAATCCATGTTGGGAAGCCATGTTGTCAATCCATGTTGTGAATCCATGTTGTGAATTCATTTTGGGAATCCATGTTGGGAAGCCATGTTGTCAATCCATGTTGTGAATCCATGTTGTGAATTCATTTTGGGAATCCATGTTGGGAAGCCATGTTGTCAATCCATGTTGTGAATCCATGTTGTGAATTCATTTTGGGAATCCATGTTGGGAAGCCATGTTGTCAATCCATGTTGTGAATCCATGTTGTGAATTCATTTTGGGAATCCATGTTGGGAAGCCATGTTGTCAATCCATGTTGTGAATCCATGTTGTGAATTCATTTTGGGAATCCATGTTGGGAAGCCATGTTGTCAATCCATGTTGTGAATCCATGTTGTGAATTCATTTTGGGAATCCATGTTGGGAAGCCATGTTGTCAATCCATGTTGTGAATCCATGTTGTGAATTCATTTTGGGAATCCATGTTGGGAAGCCATGTTGTCAATCCATGTTGTGAATCCATGTTGTGAATTCATTTTGGGAATCCATGTTGGGAAGCCATGTTGTCAATCCATGTTGTGAATCCATGTTGGGAATCCATGTTGGGAATCTACTAATACCCCTTGATGTTTACCATCTCCAGCTGACAGAGATAGTCCACGTAGGTGTTTTCACTGATCGGGCACAACTAGATCTATGCTAGAACTAGAACTTTTGATTAAATGTAATCAACATGTGGTGATGCGACAGACGGCAACCTGCAGCCGCATGTCGTTGTTCATAGTAATAAATTCGGCTTTTTTTTTCTTTTTATTTCGTTATCTTTGATTTTTACAATAAAGACCCGTACAATGCAAAGGAAATTCCAAAGTAACTTTTTTTTAAAAAAGCATTTTATTAATGAGGGCGTCCATTACTTACGTCAACAATTTTTTCGCAATTCTTGACCCCCTCTCCCCTTTGTCAACAAATGTCAAACTTTCAATGACCCCTCCCCCCAAGTAATTATGTCAACATTGTATAACCCCCCCCCTCAAATAAATTATAATTTAAATATATATATATATATATATAAATACATTTTACTGTGTGCTGATCTATTTAAATGACAAATAAAATTTTAGGACAAAATTTTTATGACATCTTTAGCTTGTTAATCAACACGATAAAAAGTTTTTACACTTAAATTATATAATGCAGAATCAATTAAAAGGTTGCAAAAGAATGAATATCATTGCTTGTGCAAGTATAAATATGATTATTGTAGGTACACCTTACAATTGTAATGTAGTTTCCAGTTGCTATCCTCTTCCCATCAATCCTATGGAGTAGCCAGGTAACAAAGGACATAGTAGCTGATTCATCATTTTCATATTGTGGAACTAATATACCAGACAAGTCAACATCATCCTTATCTAACCATTCAGCACTTACAATAGAAGCATAGTCAGTGTGAGCAATAATGGCCATAAGCTCTCTCTCTCTATCCTGGCTGCTACTCGCATTGGTTGAATCCTTTTTTTTTTTTTTTTGTTGAGAAGGAGCTGGTAATTTCTTAAGAGCGCATCGTCGGTGCTTTTGGCCATGCTTTTTTTAACATGACTTGTGGTGCAGAATAGGTGTTACATATTTTCTAAATCTTT